TCCCCCTGCTTGTGTTCCCCCTCTTGCTGTGTCTCTCTCTGTCAAATAAATAAATAAAATCTTTAAAAATAAATAAATAAACTCCATTTTCTTCCTCAAACTCTCTCCCCCTTTGGCCACAGTGGCTCACATCCTACTTTCTGACCACACTTCCTCTCTCTCCCTCAGTGGCTCCTGATTGAGGATTGCCCTGCATGGTACAGATGTTGCTGTAGCCATTTTTAAAAAGTCTGTCAAAATGGCCAGGTCAGGAGCGCCTGGGTGGCTCAGTCAGTTAAGCATCTGCCTTCAGCTCAGGTCATCCATCATTCAAGGGACCTGGGATTGAGCCCTAGGGTGAGCTCCACACAGCGGGAAGTCTGCTCTTCCCTCTCCCTCCACCCCTCCCTCCGGCTTGTGTGCACTCTCATTTTCTCTCTCTCTCAAAATAAATAAATCTTAAAAAAAGATGGCTAGGTCAATTGCCAGATGGCCCCTGTTTCACCCCCCGCTTCTCTCCCCATTCCTCACTCTCTTCTCATCTCCCCCCCTCACCCTGCCCCCCAGACCACAGGCTCTCCTGTGCCCCCAAAAGTGTTGACATCACTTTCTTCCCAAGAGGCTGTTATTTTCAGCGATTACTATTGACTCGCAAATCTCTGTGACCCCCTCCTCGCCTGAACTGCAGGCTCACTTTCCCTGAGATCTTCCACATCACCTCATAACTCAGTGTCCAACACTAATGTCATTTTTACTTATTTGGTACATTTACCTTACTTTCAAAAGGCTAAAGAAACTTCTAAAATTAAATATAATACAGGGGCGCCTGGGTAGCTCAGTCAGTTGAGCATCTGACTCTTGGTTTCGGCTCAGGTCATGACCTCAGGGTCGTTGAGACTGAGCCCTGAGTGGGGCTCCGTGCTCAGCTGGGGGTCTGCTTCCCCTCTCCCTCTGCCCCTCCCCCGGCTCCAGCGTGCACGGTCTCTCTCTCTCTCTCTCAAATAAATAAATCATTAAATGTAATACAGAATAGGACAATTTTCCACAGAAAGGAACTAGACGCAATGGGTAGAAGTTACCAAAAACATCCTAACAATGGACTCAAACACCTGGGAGCAAGTGACTGTCGAGGAGTTTGCACACTAGGAGCAGGTGACCTGGGAATTGCCCTCTCAGGATTCTGTGACCCTCTGACAATTAGAAACTGAACCAGGGGCGCCTGGATGGCTCAGTTGGTTAAGCGACTGCTTTCGGCTCGGGTCATGATCCTGGAGTCCCGGGATCGAGT